GAGAGAGAGAGAGAGTTATAAGTGTTAAAATGATGTTTAATATGTCGTGAATGTTGAATGTTTGAATAAATGTTGAAATGTGGAGGTTAATGTGGAAAATGTTTATATAATTGTTGGGATGTTTGCAATATGTTGAATGAAGTTAAGATGTAAAAAATTCTCACGTTTACTCACACATATACTCATCTCCTGCACTCACACATGCACTCACACGTTCACTCATTCACTCACACAAACACTCACAGTCACTCACTAAAGCTACCTACACTGATTTATACCCCTATACCCCCATTATACCCCCATACCCATAATAAAAACTACTTAGGACACCAATATGCGTGTATAAATATATCGTGTGGATGGAACTCTTTGCCAGATAATCTTTTACCTTAGTATTCAAATGATTCTTTTGGTTAGGGGGAGATAGTGTGGGAAGCCTGAGAAAGTATAGACTCGACAATCAAACGTCTCTGATCTTTTTTTATTCTGTGATTGTCATTTGTTTTATAAGAGAAATCGGATCTGATTCTAGAGACAGAGGAGTTAGCAGGTTTAAAATACTTCTTACCTCTACTTATAATGAACTCAAGAAATATTTCACAATCTTTCAACACACTGATACCGTAATAAGAGTGTGTGTTAGCTAGTGTTAGAGTGTGTTAGAGGGTGTTAGCGGTGTGTTAGGGAGGGTTTAGTGGTGTGTTTGAGTGTGTTAGGGAGGGAGTTAGTGGTGTGTTTGAGTGCGTTAGGGAGGGAATTAGTGGTGTGTTTGTGTTAGGGGGATGTTGGTGATGTGTTAGTGGTGTGTTAGAGTGTGTTAGGGAATGTTAGCGATGCGTTAAGAGTGTGTGAGGGGTGTTACTGAGTGTGTTAGAGTGTTGTGAAGAAACCCCATCCCAGACACTCTCGCTGGGATAGAATCTGTGTCCCTGAACTTTAAAAGACTGTGTAATAATAATAATAATAATAATAATAATAATAATAATTAACGGTTTATTGAAAAAGTTCTGCAGCCCGAAGGCTGAAAATATACATTGGACATAAATGACTTATTACATACATTGGTGGTTTAACAAAAGCCTTCATTAGAGAAAGGTAAAGGAACATACAGTGAACATACAGATTAATGTAGGTGTTGAACAGCAAACTCGTAGTGTAGTAACTCTCTCCCAGATGGTGTTAGGAGGGACCTCACGTGGTGTAGTAGTTCCCTCAGATGGTGTTATGAGGGACCTCAAGGGGTGTAGTAATTCCCTCCCAGATGGTGTTAGGAGGAACTCACGTGGTGTAGTAATTACCTCACAGATGGTGTTATGAGGGACCTCAAGGGGTGTAGTAATTACCTCACAGATGGTGTTATGAGGGACCTCACGTGGTGTAGTAATTACCTCACAGATGGTGTTATGAGGGGCCTGACGTGGTGTAGTAATTACCTCACAGATGGTGTTATGAGGGGCCTGACGTGGTGTAGTAATTCCCTCACAGCTGGTGTGATGAGGGACTTGACGTGGTGTAGTAATTCCCTCACATATGGTGTTATGAGGACATGTGGTGTAGTAATTCCTTCACATATGGTGTTATGAGGGACATGTGGTGTAGTAATTCCCTCACAGATGGTGTTATATGAGTGAGGTGTGGTCTTAGGCCTTCCTATCGTAGACGGATTAACACATCGCTGGTTGTTGTTGGGTCTCACGGGCCGTTATC